AGTCGAGGATGCAGAGGCACGTTTCTGTCATTACTCATGAAGAAAATAGGCTCCCAGCTCATTTTAGCTTGACGTGTTTTATAGTACTTGTTGATTCTTACAATGATTCTGTGATTTATTTGAATAGAATTGCAACAGGCAGGCATTGTGCTGTATTTTCTAAAAAGACGAGGATTTTTTTTCATACTGCTCTGGTTGGATTCTTAGCCCTTGCCAATTTTGCCCTTTAGTCCAATGCGCTGTATCTGCCAAGTGTAGTCATAGTCAACATACTGCTCCATACACTAGAGGCAATACAAGCATCTGGCTCCTGTGTTGTTCTGCAGTTTTGTCAATGTGGCTAGCTACGCTACTGCCAAATAAACGCTCTCCCTGCCTCCTGCCAGTAGTGATTTATAGCCAAATACATCCTTGCCCTGTCCACTTCATCCCCAAAGAAAAATCATTTTCCAATTGAACAGAATGTGGGCCTTGAGGACTGACACTACAGGGGGATCAAGAAACGGAATATTTTGTTGGCACAGCCATGTGGATGAATGATGAAAACCTAAGACTAACAGGTCTGATGTTAAGATGTTTTTCTTTTCACTTCTCCTTTTCATGCACATGACAGTGGATGGAATTGATGTGTGCCACTCTTAGAAAGCTATAATTATAGATGTATAATGTAGACAGGGCTTACTCAGAAGCCGCAGGCAAAATGTATTTTGTGTGTGAGCAAGAATCCAAAAGGCTGTAGAGGTATGCATTTTCATGAGGATCTGCTTTTCCAACTTAGCTCTGGGAGATGATGTCTGTTCTGCATGTATTGACAGAATACGCTGCAACGCTTGGCTGAACCACGAAACCAATTCGTGTGCTTTTATGTATTGTTAAGCTGTTCTGCTGTATCTCCAGTATTGCAAATCAATATAGTGATAGTGACATGATAAGAGACGATATAAAATAAAGCAGAGGTAAAAGTACCTTTTTGTATGGTGCCCTCAAACGTGCCTGCTGCATCTTAGGATGTGTATCCATGACAACTTAGATTCTGGGCCGAGCTTTCAGCTTGATTCTCAGCAATCTAATGAACAACATAAAAAAGTTCATCAATATTACAATAAAAACAAAGGCTTGAGCCGGAGGCTTGAACGTGAATGATTAAAAAAAAAAGCAAGAATGGCTTGGGGAGCAAAAGTACTAAGTGTACTGCACGATAGATCTAATCCTTGTGTCAAGGGACTATCTGCCTGCATAGTAAGAGTGTGAAGCTTTGCACCAGTGTCTCATTAGGACAAGGACAGCTGTGCAGAGGCGGACAGCCTGTTTCCAGAGACACCGCTTGAGTCACAGTAGGCCAACGAGCAATTGGAGAACACTTGCTACATGCTGTGTGACTCAGAGGGCCACACGAATGCTCAGTCAGATATGGATGCTGATCCCTCATCAGGAAAGAAAGTTTTTGTGAGAAGTCAGAAAGCAGCTTGGGCGTTGACACCGAAGCTGCTACCAGGGTTGTTATCAGTCCCAGGAAGCAGCCTGCAGCTCAAGGAGATGTCCTCTGTTCCAGTTTTCTGGAATCCATCAACATCTTTGGAAGCCAAGCCCCACTGGGGTTGAGACTCGTGAGTTTGGGTTGCTTTGAGCCAAGCACCTCAAGATTCCACTGGGAGGCTTTGATGGCAGTCTGCATTGTGGAAATTGGTGTAGAACAGTCAAAGCTTCTGTTTCTCCCCAGCTGTGGAGCTCCACAGCTAAACCAACCAACGAAAAGTCTTTCAAGACACAGTTAAACACCTGCCATGCCTCAGCGGAAGGACTTTTAAAAATTTCAGAGTGTTTCTTTTTTATTAACCATAGCCTAAATGCTAGAGGTTCCTGACACAAGAGGGCATTATGAAAGCTCTGGGCATTACTTTATGCTAGAGGGTATTTTATGAGGCTAAATGTTCTGACAGGGATGAAAATATATTTGATAAAATGGTTGGCCTGCAGCCAAGCATCTTATTAAGTCAGCCAAGCAAGACAGTACTGCTTTCATCCTATCTGACTAAGAAATCAACCAGACGCTTGCCTCCTGTACTTGCTTCATTTTTTAGAGGCCACCCAGTCTTTTCAGTCATTGTTTTTTAAAAATTCAAGGACCTTCAACCTGAAAATAAAACCCAAAATTATGTATGGTCACCACAGAAAATATGGTGATACAGACTGTGCTTTCTTTCTACATTAAGATGTATCAGGAAAGTCTGTCGTACAGTTTGCAGCTTGATTCTCTGAGAGCAGCCACATTCACGAATTGCTGTTGGCAGCTGACTGTGGGTTGGACCCCTTGGCCAATCAAGTCCCCTCTGCCTAAGGACACGCTTGGGATTTTCACTTGCTCCTCGAAATGTAAGCCAGCCTGTCAATCACAACTCCAGGCCCTCCTGTGATCCCTGACCCACTGGTACTCTTGCCATGGCAACACAAATCCCAGTAGACTTTGATGTCAAGAACAGGAGTTCTCAAAAATATGAAAGACAAGCATCTCTGATCCAGTGCAGACACACACAGATTATGCCCTGGATCAAAATGTCTTGGCCATATGAGTAATATATTAATTTATATTATATATATTATATATATATTAATCTTTTATTTTATTTTATGAGAAATATCAGAACCATAGTATAACTGTCCCCTAAGCCCAAAATAAATCTATATTTAACTTAAAATAAACATTTCATCTTCAAATCATCCCTCCCAAAAATCTGCTTAAGCTAATTCATACGTGCACGAAGGAGGGGAGGAGAAAAGCTTTGTATTTGCTCTCTTTGGAAGCAAAGTGGCAAGCAATGCTATTATTTGTTCAGGGTAATAGTTTCTCCAAGCAGCTTCAAGCAGAACTCAGCATAAAAATCAGCAGCAGTGCAGATGGAGTTCCCCTGCGGTTGCATATGCTTGAAATAAGGAATATGAGAGATTAGTTTAAATAGTGGCCACTCATTTGTCACATTTATGCAGTTGTATTGACTGACCAGCGGTGCTTTTCAAATATAAGTATGGATTAAAAACATTCCCTCAAAGAGTGTTTGAGCCTCAATACAAAAGTGACCAAAAACAAGGGAGAAAATTACACACGATATCATTTGGGATGGGAATTATTACGAATTTAGCAGTTCCAATACTGATGTCATTTATAGATTTGATTCCTTATCAATTCTCATCGGGTTCTCAGTTACTCTAAGTCATCACCACTAAGCAGCATATCAAAGGCATTAGATTCAGGTGACCCTGAGGTACAATAGGTGTAGGCTGCTGGAGCATTCGCATGAGTATTTTTTTCCAGTTACCTTTCTCACTCACTCTGTGTTAATAGACCTCTCTGCATTGAATCACACTTGTTATTAATCTCTCGCTCCCTTCCACAGCATGTCTTTTGTCCCGTCTTCCTTCTCTCACCCCAACCAGTCGTGGCAGATGGCCGCCCCTCCATGAGCCTGGTTCTGCTAAAAGTTTCTTCCTGTTAAAAGGAAGTTCCTTCCCACTGTCGCCAAAGTGCTTGCTCATATGGAGCAATGTGATTGTTGGGGTTTTTTTTCTATGTATTATTGTGAGGTCGCCTTGAGGTGACTGTTGTTGTGGTTTGATGCTGTATAAATAGAATTGAATTGAATTTATGCAAATGAATTGCATGCTGTGTGGTTAAATATTTGTATGTTGAAGGTCAGGCGAGGGTGGTTCAGAGGGTTGGTTAGTTCATCTTGTAACCGGAAGGTTGCCGGTTCAATCCCCGGCTCTGTCTCTCTTGGTCATCGTGTCCTTGGGCAAGACACTTCACCTACCACCTACTGGAGATGGGCTGATGGTGCGATATGGCAGCCTCGCTTCTGTCACTCTGCACCAGGGCAGCTGTGGCTGCAACTGTAGCTGCCTCCACCAGTGTGAGAGTGAATGAATAGTGGAATCGTAAAGCACTTTGAGGGTCTCGAAAAGTGCTATATAAATGCAATCCATTACTATTATTTCCGCTCTTTGCTGTGGTCAGTATTGGGATCATTACTCAAAATGTAGGTAATGTATTGCACAAATTACACAGAAAACGTTTCTTAATAATAATGCAATACATTCCTCAATTGCTCTCAGGAGAAAGCAATTTGTTTTACACTTTACTCATTGCTTTACTTTTGCGTTTCTCCATAACATGATCATTGTCTCATAACTGCCATTTAACCACACAAATCTAAAGGCTAAAATTCCTAGTTACCCTGTTAGTGTATTAAATGCATTATTCTTATTTTGTTCATGTAGAAGTTACCCGTTGGGTCAAAGATATTGTGATGCCACTTGCCACAAACCTGCCACCTGCAGCCTGAAATACAACTGTGCCTCTCTCTCCCTCTCTCTCTGACAAGTTATAAATGAGTGTGAGGAAAAGTAAACTGATGCGATTAGAGGCCTGGTTCTGCATTGCTTTGATGTAAAAAAAATGATGTATGTCACTGGTGTCAGAATAATCCCACGTATAACCATGCAATCAAAACCATGTGTAACCACAGTCTGCATGAAGGTATGGACATTATCATTCAGGAAACAAAGACTGCAGGTGAAAGCACTGCTAAGGTCGGCCACACTGCTAGCTAATGCTAACTAATGTGATACGGGGTGTGGTTGCTGTTTGCAGTGTTATAGCTTGTGGAAAGTGATCTATATTGATTATAGATGAGTGTAATTAATAGTTTCAAATAGCTTTAACCTAATCTGTTTGATTATGCTCAGATCAGATTTTTTCCCCTTTAAACATCTAGTTTATTAGTCACGACGAACATTATTAGTACAAAACAAAGTAGAATCATTAAGTCCACCTTAGTGACGTGAAAAAGTGCAGATAAAGCCTCGCCTTGTCATCATGTTGAGGTTTTGGGCAGCTGCTTGTAAGTCTAATCTCAGCTACCTAAAACTTAGCTCTAATTTCACTAACTAAAAAGTTCTCTAAATAACTGTCTAAATGTCTCTCTCTCCACCATGTGTTTTTGCAGGTCATCCTTATCCTAACCAAGTACTACCACGCTGACTCCACCAAGGTCCTGGAAAGCTCACTGTGGCGGTAAGCTGATCGTTTAGACACCATGTGTGCTCTTGCTGGATGTCTTTATGTCATGTCTGGCCCCACTGTCGTGCAGACCTTTCATCAGCAAATCGCTTCCCTTGAACAGGAAGGTCAGCACTGGTCTAGTTATCTCTCTGCTGTGCCTCTTCAAGGAGACAAGGGTGAGACAAGGGTGAAACAGAGTGCTAGGGCGGACAAAACATCAGCAGGCAGCTACAACTAAAGTGGTGGACCGGAGAGTGGCGCTGTGAGGCCAGAGCGGGCATCTGTTTGGGCAGATAGCATATCAGCATGGCACAGGGCAGGATGGCTGGCAACAGCAGTGCCAGGGAAAGGGGTCAAGTCTGGCTGGCACTGCTTCCTCTATTTAGCAAAGCACTTGCTCACCAAAAACCCTTCTCACTTCTCTCACATTTGAACAGTGGAAAATAAAATGTATCCATTCCACACCACTTGACAACAAGTACATCTTGTTTGCAAACATATATTCCCATAGAATATTAACCTTCAACTAAATTTACTTCCTCTCCCACAGCTTTCTGAGTGCTGAAATGGAACTGAGCCTGACCTTGTAGATAATGGGGTAGAGGGACTTAATTATATTCAAATTTCCTAATAAAAACTTAGAACACAGACAAAATATTAGCTAAAATTAGACATCTAGAAGATATTCATATAGAGCAAAATGTGTCTGATGATTGTACTTAATTCATGCCATTCACCTCACCGAGGACTCCATGACTTCAAAGCTTCAGCCTCTCATTAGCTCTGACTGTTTGTCCCCCTGGAGGACTGATATGAATAATGTACATATTTTTCCCCTTCCCCTGTTGATGATTTAATTGTTGCACTGTATGAATAATGCTGGGGACTCTCTACTGGACAGCTCATTCAAGAAAGAAAAAATCCTCCAAATCACCGCCAGTTTAGATCCAGTTCACACTGAATTTAGAGAGAGGAGAAGCTGGCCTCCTGCCTGCTGCCATCACTGTCCAAAAACAGGAATTTCCATGAAATTAGCAGTATCCATACAGCTATCTGACCGTGTCTTGTTAGGCATTATCTGTGGGGTGTAACTCAAATCCTTTGTAGCTGTTAGTTTGGGATGGTGCATAGACAACCACATTTCTACGGCCTATAGGCTTTGAAGTCCCAAGGCTGTAGGATCAAATGAGAAAGATGGGGGAGGATGAATGGGTTTGCCGTCTTACCCTGTCAGGTGGTGTTCATCTAGAAGCCAGGTTTCACACGGGGGTAAAGTTAACAACAGTGAGAGGAGAAAAGAATTTCCAGGACAGATGAGTTAATGAACTGAGGTCGTATTATCGCCTGAGTAGGCTTTTCTTGTGACTATAAGCAAAATATACTGGTACCTAGTGGAACACTTTCACTTAATATTTATGACTGACCCAACAATCTTGGATACAAATTAGTCAGTATGATTCATGTATACTCTTAAAAAAAGGACCAAAGTTAGCATTAAGATTCTGCTGTATTTACTAGTAACAGTGATTAATTGTACTATGATGGCCTTGAATGCTTGACCCCGACACTTCACACACTTACCGTTTTCATGTAGGAATAACTGTTTGTCAGAAAAAGCAGTTTAACAAAATGACCTAAACTCAAGCGCTGCTTACTGACTTTTTGAGACGCTTTTAATTGGATTTGGGGGACAGCTGACAAAAATCAAGAATGACATCCACATTCAATCCTGTTGCACAGAAAGGCAGACATTTTAATTATGGAGATGTCTGGTGTGATGGAACTTGAAGTCAAGTCTTTGATCCACGAAAGTGGTTTGACAGTGGACACAAAGCTAGATTTGTGCCCATTGTATTCAACTTGCTACTGTTTTTGTTACTGAGCGGTTAATTTTAGTCACCAAAACTACTTGGTTAGGTGTATATCAGAGTGACAAGGCATTGTGTGACAGACCTGGGACTTGTTCTCCAGGTAAACAAAGTGATGTATAAGATGCCTGAATTGCTATATTGCCTTAATATGTGCTTGCACAATGACAGTAAAGAGCCTTGAATCTTGAATTGAAAACATATGTTCAAATGTTTCTGTGAGACTAGCATAGCTGGACTGGCCATCGGGCATACCGGGCATTTGCCCGGTGGGCCACTGGCGATTTTTTGTTTTTATGGGCCGATGGATTTTTTTTTTTTTTAGGAAGGGTATAAATAATGAAAGGTGTTGGATTGGCCAATTGGTCATGATCGACTCTGGGCTGGACCAATTACAGCCGAGGAGGCTGGATGCACCCTCCCCCTTGTTTAGCAATCACGTGATTTTCGCGCATTGCATGCCGGGAACTCGTGGCAAAACAATCCAAGTACCGCATCAAATGCAAGCATTTGCAGCACCGCAAAACGTTCATTCTCCGGTTCCAATACCTTCTTGTTTTTTCTTTGCCGCACAAAAAAGGAATGTACAAAACAAAAGGAGAACAATGCCGGTCCGTACAAAGACAGACTCGACGAAAAGACAAAGAAAAATACGAGGAAAAAATCAAAGGAGTGAAAGGGTCAGACCCTTACGAGCACACAGAGTGGACAAAAGACGTCAGCGTGCTGCCCAACTTTCACCACGCTCAGATTTATAATTATACGGTTCTTGGAGTGAGTGCATACACTCATGAAGTTTAGTAACTTCAGGTCACTGCAACAAGCCCAGGTACAGTTTACTGACGGATGGGTGCAGGACCTTGAAATGCACCGTTTAGAACGAAAGACCATCGTACAAACAAAGGTAAGTTTACCAGTCTCACAAATCGTCTTCATAAATACACATTCGTTAACAGTTTATTAATATAACCTTCGAGCTCAACGGTAATTCATTAGTAGTGGAAATATATTTCTGGTAGCATTACAGAAATGTAGCAGTGACAATAATATTGTATGCTGTAATCGCACTGGACAATTAGTGATACAAAACAACTGTTTTATCCTGTGAATAAAAGTATGTTTTTGTCAATGTACCATAATAACAGAAGCGAAACGCAATATTGTGTCAGGACAATTCACTATTTATGCACAATAAATAAAGGAGCATAGCGCGACAATTTCTGTTCAGCACCAGACTTGCTTGTAACCTATATCACCAATTATGTTAAGAAAAATGACGTATTAACTACAACAGCAGACTGACCTTTGTGGGAATGCTTGGAGGAGACCAACATGTGAGCTGAAGTGTTCTGAGACGTTATATTTGGTATATCCAGACCATCCGTCGGCTCTTACTTCGGAAACATGGCTTAAAAAATTTCTCTTCAACGACGTAAAAAAAACCGATCTCTTTACCCGTCGGCTTCCCGTGGCTGTCATGCAACCAGCTATTGCAGTTAATAATACAACAGCTTCTTGCCATTTTTTGGGTTTCTTTTTATCGCTGTGTAACTGAGTTCAATTGAACGCCTGCGTGCGCTAGTACCTCTTGCCACAAGTTCCCAGAATCCTTTGCGGTTTTACCCCTGAATGACGTCACATTTTCAATCTTTATCCTGGTGGGCCGATTTTTTGTCCCAGTCCAGCCCTGGAGACTAGCCTGGTACACTGAATGCTAAAGATCATCCGTGAGTAACCGTGACTTACCAAAACAAAGGCATAAACATGTCGTGATGTGGTTACCTTGGAGAAAACATGGGAAAGGCCTCTAAGCCATTGGCTAACTGCACACATTGAGCTGCCTTGCAGTTTTTCTCTAACAGTCAAGACTGTTTTCTTTTAATCAAACAGATAAACAAGTGGTAATCTTTTAGTTTAACAAAAATCCTTATTTTTCTTTGTCTTATTCCTTATATTTATCTTTATATTTATTCTGGAAGACACTGGAGGATTTCTACATGTCTGTCTTTCATTTTGGTATGACTGGCTCAAGGACCCATGCTATAGCATGGCTGATAAAACAGCTCCAAACATCTTGACTCATGAGAATGGCTCTTTGTGAAGGGAGAAGGGAAAAGTGGCAACAGGCATGAATCTTTTACTTGTGTTTCCACAAGTCCACATGTTAAAATAGAATATTTACTTGTACAAAGATTACTCAGATTCATCCGTGTAAGGCAACGCGAACATCTCTTGGCAACAGGTTGTCTTTCCCTGATTCATTGTCTTTTCATTTTGTTTAGGCCTCGGCCAATAATTGCTTATGTATCAGCAGTAATGTCATAATATTTTTCCATTCGCCAGAGTTGCAGTCAGAGTTTTGTACTACTGTGGGTTAGGTGTTTTAGCTCTAAGCAACTAAGGTCTAAATGTGATGTCTGAACATGTGTTTTGAATGTCCACCTTCAAGCCTGTAGATAAAACCAGTTTTCTTTGCCTCCTGCTCGCTGCTCTAATCTCCCTCCAAGAACTCTGAAGCCTTGTTTGTCTTTGTACACTTTGACTTTTTGAAAACATGCTTGGTGTTACATACAAAAACTAGCTGAAACATTGCTGAAAGGGTAACATAATTTCTAAATCCTGCTCATTCTGACTCTTTTAAAATACTTAAAGTAGCCAGTCAAACAAAAATATGTATTATTATCAGATTGTCAATTCTGGTAAAACACTCATTCCATTACCTTTAAAGCTACTTTTGGCTGCTGCTTAATTTGACAAAGGCTTGCCACAGCACATCACAGTGTTGCGTGCTTGATTTGGCAGGGTTTTTTGGGTTGGTTTTTTTTACACTGGATGTCCTTCCTGTTGTAACCCTAAAAGAATTTGTGTTTCTTCCCAGGACTCACCCATGGATTGTTGCTCATAAGGCAAATGTGGAAACCACAACACTTTGGAGTCAGGCGCAAATCAAAACGTTTAGTGCCTTAATTTCAAGATATGAACATGAATTAAATAGCTAGCTACTGGAAGCACCGATGACCCTATATAATGTAAAAAAAATTCTACTCCATCTCTCAGCTTTTAATATTTTTCAGTCCTGGTCGGTAAAGCGTTTGACAATGGCGGACGGTGTAGAGAATGCAAGGCAATACATAAACCCACGAT